AAAATAAAATAAAACAGATGAGCGAATAGAGCAAAACTAGTGCTCACAATACGAGCACCACTTGATATGAGACGATGGCGTTTACGAGGAAAAATTTCAATTTGAAAATCGCTATGACTTATCGGTCAGCCACTTCGGAAAGAAGCACGGCAAAGCTTTTCGGCAACCTAAGAGTGGAATGTTCAGAAGAGGTCATGATTAAGCAGAGGGTACATTATTGATTGATACCTCCCGAGGGAAAATAAAGTTAGAGCTAGTTGTCGGTTTGGTCGTTTTGTTGGTGGACCTGTATCTTTGAAAGAGGAAAGCTCAGAGCAGGGAACTTCTTATTTACAGGCACTCTACATCCAATTACGACCCGGCTGCTTCAGTGGAGAATCACCAGTCAAGAGAAGGTTCTCGTGCATCGCACAGAAGCGAGGAAAGACCACCATCTATAGCAAGGCAGACAGATTCTCGTGCTTCTCGTCGCAGCGATGGGAGGTCCCCTTCTGCTGTAAGGAGAACTCCCTCCAGGCAGTCCAGGAGAGCTAGCAGGCAAGACACACAGGTTGGAACACTCTATGATCAGCATTACATGGGCGAAAATGAGGCAGTGACCAAATGCTACTAACTATACTCCCTTTCAAAAACGAAGAGTGCAGACCATACACCACAAGTGACGACGGCCTCCACAAAATGTAAATGTTTTCTGCCAATGATTAGCCTGTTGCAGTTGTATTCTATCAGTTGTCACTAATTACAACTATCATTTACCAAAATCAGCTATCACTATGAACCACTACTAACCAGATTTACTTGGAAGCCGTTGTGGTGTATGGTCTGCACCCGACGCTTTTCTCGTTTTGAAAGGGAAGGTACAGAAGTAGCTTGACAATGAGTCGATTTCCTAAACAAATCCGGAACAGCTGAGCTTTTCGCCCATTCGAAGTCAGAAACGCTGTGGAAATCGAAATTGCATCTTAAGAAAGAGAGTTTTCAAGGTAAATGATAATACGTTGTCTTTACGCCAGTTGCTGTCATATTTCAATCCTGAGACTCGTACACATGAGCATTTCTTCCTACGAAACTGAATGGAAGGTGGGGCGAGTTTTGAGTGAGCCTAGCGAGCTATTCCGTCACTTGTTCTCAGTGATAGCAGATATTTGAAGAAGAACACCGCCATTACGCATTCGGATCAAACACTTCTTATATTGCGAGTTTTGCTGCATCTTGAAGACTGCATCTCCTATTTTCATTTTCTCCGCCTCTTAATTGAATATTTTTATCCCTGAAACTTCTTTACTCATTTGCAGCTTGGCTTCTACCAGTCGTTCCGCACCTCTCTCTTCCACATTGTTGGAATTTTGATTTTCACTGACGTCATTTTGCCGTTCATAACCGTTCTCTCCTGAGTGTTAAAGAGTGTGAGTGCGAAAGCCTAAACGAGCTCTGCTCTTGGCCGTTGTAAGAGCAAATATTGTCACGTGTCTCTGACCACATTCACTTTTTTATACGCTGTTTCCAAGAGATCCATGTAATTTTCATCCT